ACAACATTCATTCCACTTGGTAAAAGAAATTGTTGGGCAGGATTAAAAATGTGTAATAATTTGCTATTTTGAGTCCCAAATAGAAAAAAAAAATAGAGTCCCAAATAGAAACTCAGAAAAAGTGAAAAATGAGGGAGGGGCAAGATGGCGGAAGAGCAGGGTCCCCAAATCACCTGTCCCCACCAAGTTACCTAGATAACCTTCAAACCATCCTGAAAATCTACGAATTCAGCCTGAGATGTAAAGAGAGACCAGCTGGAATGCTACAGTGAGAAGAGTTCGCGCTTCTATCAAGGTAGGAAGACGGGGAAAAAGAAATAAAGGAACAAAAGGCCTCCGAGGGGGAGGGGCCCCGCGAGGAGCCGGGCTGAGGCCGGGGCGAGTGTCCCCAGGACAGGAGAGCCCCGTCCCGGAGAAGCAGGAGCTGCACCAACCTTCCCGGGCGGGCGGAAAGGGGCTCGCAGGGAGTTGGAGCAGGACCCAGGAGAGCGGGGATGCCCTCAGGCTCCCGGGGACACTAACAGACACCTGCGAGCACAGGAGAGTGCGCCGAGCTCCCTAAGGGCTGCAGCACGCACCGGAGCAGTTCGGAGGGGCTCGGGAGCGGCTCCAGGGAGGGAGCTGCGGGGCGGGAGCGCGAATCCAACAACGCAGGCCCCGGAGCACAGGGCGCCGGGACACAGCCCAGGATCCGGCCTCCCCCGGGACAGGCAGAGGCCGGGAGGGCCCAGGACAGCAAGGACGCTCCTGCCCCGAGCTGAGCAGATCAGCGGCCCCGCCCCGGAGCCTCCAGGCCCTGCGGACGGAGAGCCGAGAGCCCCGAGCCCCGAGCCCCGTAGTTCCTGCGGAGGCTGAATCCAGGCTTCCAGAGTTGCCATAGCAACTGCAACTGTTCCTCCTGAGACCTCACGGGGTAAACAACCCCCGCTGAGCCCTGCAGCAGGCAGGGGCAGAGCAGCTCCCCCAAGTGCTAACACCTGAGAATCAGCGCAACAGGCCCCTCCCCCAGAAGACCAGCTAGAGGGACCAGTGATACTCCCCCGTGTTCCAATACAACTTGTTTTTGGCCACTCTGCACTGAGCAAAATGACTAGAAGGAAAACCTCACTTCAAAAGAAAGAATCAGAAACAGCCCTCTCTCCCACAGAGTTACAAAATCTGGATTACACTTCAATGTCAGAAAGCCAATTCAGAAGCACTATTCTACAGCTACTGGTGGCTCTAGAAAAAAGCATTAAGGCCTCACGAGACTTCATGACTGCAGAATTTAGATCCAATCAGGCAGAAATTAAAAATCAATTGAATGAGATGCAATCCAAACTAGAAGTCCTAACGACGAGAGTTAACGAGGTGGAAGAACGAGTGAGTGACATAGAAGACAAGTTAATGGCAAAGAGGGAAACTGAGGAAAAAAGAGATAAACAATTAAAGAACCACGAAGACAGATTAAGGCAAATAAATGACACTCTAAGGAAGAAAAACCTACGTTTAATTGGGGTTCCCGAGGGCGCCGAAAGGGACAGAGGGCCAGAATATGTATTTGAACAAATCCTAGCTGAAAACTTTCCCAATCTGGGAAAGGAAACAGGCATTCAGATCCAGGAAATAGAGAGATCCCCCCCTAAAATCAATAAAAACCGTTCAACACCTCGACATCTAATAGTGAAGCTTGTAAATTCCAAAGATAAAGGGAAGATCCTTAAAGCAGCAAGAGACAAGAAGTCCCTGACTTTCATGGGGAGGAATATTAGGGTAACAGCAGACCTCTCCACAGAGACCTGGCAGGACAGAAAGGGCTGGCAGGATATATTCAGGGTCCTAAATGAGAAGAACATGCAACCAAGAATACTTTATCCGGCAAGGCTCTCATTCAAAATGGAAGGAGAGATAAAGAGCTTCCAAGACAGGCAGGAACTGAAAGAATATGTGACCTCCAAACCAGCTCTGCAAGAAATTTTAAGGGGGACTCTTAAAACTCCCCTTTAAGAAGAAGTTCAAGTAACTCTGAACGTGAATGGGCTTAATGACCCCATCAAAAGGCGCAGAGTTTCAGACTGGATAAAAAAACAGGACCCATCTATTTGCTGTCTACAAGAGACTCATTTTAGACAGAAGGACACCTACAACCTGAAAATAAAAGGTTGGAGAACCATTTACCATTCAAATGGTTCTCAAAATATACCCTAAAAACTACAGAACACTTCTGAAAGAAATTGAGGAAGACACAAAGAGATGGAAAAATATTCCATGCTCATGGATTGGCAGAATTAATATTGTGAAAATGTCAATGTTACCCAGGGCAATTTACACGTATAATGCAATCCCTATCAAAATACCATGGACTTTCTTCAGAGACTTAGAACAAATTATTTTAAGATTTGTGTGGAATCAGAAAAGACCCCAAACAGCCAGGGGAATTTTAAAAAAAAAGAAAACCATATCTGGGGGCATCACAATGCCAGATTTCAGGTTGTACTACAAAGCTGTGTTCATCAAGACAGTGTGGTACTGGCACAAAAACAGACATATAGATCAATGGAACAGAACAGAGAACCCAGAAGTGGACCCTGAACTTTATGCTCAACTAATATACAATAAAGGTGGAAAGACGATCCACTAGAAGAAAGACAGTCTCTTCAATAAATGGTGCTGGGAAAATTGGACATCCACATGCAGAAGAATGAAACTGGACCACTCTCATGCACCATACACAAAGATAAACTCAAAATGGATGAAAGATCTAAATGTGAGACAAGATTCCATCAAAATCCCAGAGAAGAACTCAGGCAACACCCTTTTTGAACTTGGCCACAGTAACCGGAGAATATGAATACTAGCGAAAGGGAATATAAGGGAAGGGAGAAGAAATGTGTGAGAAATATCAGAAAGGGAGACAGAACATAAAGACTTCTAACTCTGGGAAATGAACTAGGGGTGGTGGAGGGGGAGGAGGGTGGGGGGTGGGGGTGAATGGGTGACGGGCACTGAGGGGTACACTTGACGGGATGAGCACTGGGTGTTATTCTGTATGTTGGTAAATTGAACACCAATAAAAATTAATTTATAAAAAAAAAAAAAAAAAAGAAAAAGTGAAAAATAGAGATGGAGAAAAATGTAACAGGCAAATACTAATAAGCTGTAGTAGCTACTTGACCATTAGACAAGGTAGACTTTAAGGAAAAAAATGCATTATTAGGGATGGAGAAAATCAGCAAATAATGTAAAATATTAAATTCATCAGGAAAGTTAAAGTTAAAAATTTATATGATCTTAATAAATTGTCTGAAAATATAAGGTAAGAATTAATAGAATTATAGGGAGAAAGTGACAAATCTAATGAGAGTTTTCAAAATATTATTGGTAGATGAAAGAAAAAAACTTCAATAAAATTTTCAAATTATAACCTCGAAGCCTATCTTGTTAGACTACAGACCAATAATTAGAGAACCCTGTGCATAAACATATTCTTCTTGAGCACAATTGGAAAAATTACCAAAATTAATGACATACTATGTCATAAAGTTCAAAGTATTAATACTATAAAAACGTATTTTCCAGATATAACTTAATTTTCTACAATTAGATTAAATGGTAAGAGCCAAAATATCAACCAAATCAGCTATTTTAAAACCTCTCATAACAACTCATGGGTCAATAAAGAAATCACAATGGAAATTAAGATATTTAGGACTAAAAGATATTGAATATAATACATAATAACTGTGAAGAGTCAAAACACGAGTTAGCACTTTATCATCTTAAATGCTTAAATATTTATCTTTTGTATTTTCTAATATAACACATTGGGTTTCATCGTAAGAACTGGCAAGGACAGAAAAGGGGAGGGATGTGCTGAACAAAAAAAGGCAAAATAAAGGAGATAATAAAGAATGGAAATTAATGAACTAGGGACACAAAGCTATAACAGAAGATTCCAAAAGCCCCAAAGTTGTTTCTTTGAAAATGTAATAGAGAGACTGTGAAATGTTGCTCAAGGTTACATGACTAACAAATGGAGAAGCCAAGACTTAAATCTACATAGTCCAGGGTTTAACTACTATGCTCCACTACCCTAAAAGTGCTAGTAAGTATAAAAAGACAAGATTGTTATGTTTGACTACTTTAATCTTAATAAACTCCAGCATTATGAATACCATAAGGCAAGATATATGCAACACATACAACTAAGAAAAGGTTAGTATTCTGAATAAAAACTCCTACAAATCAATAAGGAAATAGATATATAAGAACCATGAACATGCATTTCACCAAAGAGAAAACATGAATATCCAATAACAATATAAGAAGACACTCCACCTCATAACTAATCTAGGAAATGTAAAATAAAAGTATGTGAAGTTTTCTATGTGAGTTAGATTGACAAAAACTTAAAAATCTAATAACAAATGTTGGCAAAGATGTAGAGCTATGGAAATTCTTATATATTGTGGCAGGATATAAACTGGAACAATGCTCCGAAGAAAAAATTGGGTACTATCTTGTATGAACATTCATATATCCCATGAGTTGGGAATTCCACTCCTAGATATGTACCTAGAGAAAGTCTTGAACATGTATATCCTGAAACATACACAAGGATGTTAATAACAGCAAAAAAACAAAACAAAACAAAAACCTGGAAACATTCTCTATCAAAAGAAAAATGGAAAAATAAATTGTGGTATATTCATAATGGAATACTACATAGCAAAGAAAATAACTATAATTATACACAACAAGGATGATGCAATGAACCATAATATTGAGTAAACTAAGGAATTTATAGGAAGGTTCTATTATATGAAGCCCAAACACAGGCCAAACTGAATATATCATTTAGATAGGTAGGTAAGCAAATACATAGATTTATAAAAGAGCAGAACAACAAAGTATGCTTGCATATACCAAATCTTGAATAAATCTCATTTTTGTCTTTTTCATTTTCATCTGTTACTTAAGATTACTTTAAGAAGAAACAAGAGAACCAATGCCAGTCTTACCTGCAGAAACACTGAGGAAGTTCTCCTTGGCCATATAAAGGAAACAGAAATGGAGTGTTGCCATACCGTCCAAGACAGTGAAGAAAGTTTTTGGTAGCTTTGAGACCATCTATGGTATTGCTGGCTGTCTCTGATGTCATCGCAATTGAATGCAGGACAAAGTACTGGAGGTTGGGGGTTAATTTTTGAGTTTTTAAATACTCAGAAAATGTAATCTCCTCATAGGCTATGAAAAGATGAAAATTTATCAGTTAAAATCACAATCAGGGGCAGCCTGGGTGGCTCAGCGGTTTAGCGCCGACTTGGGCCCAGGGCCTGATCCCGGACTTCTGGGATCGAGTCCCACGTCGGGCTCCCTGCATGGAGCCCGCTTCTCTCTCTGCCTGTGTCTCTGCCTCTTTCTCTCTGTGTCTCTCATGAATAAATAAATAAAATTTAAAAAAAATCACAATCAAACCTCAATTTAAAACCACTGCACTGGGATGCCTGAGTGGCTTAGTGGTTGAGTGTCTGCCTTTAGCTCAGGGTGTGATCCTGGAGTCCTAGGAACCAGTCCTTAAAAAAAAAGATTTTATTTATTTATTTATTCATGAGACAGAGACAGAGACAGAGACAGAGACAGAGAGAGAGAGAGAGAGAGAGAGAGAGAGAGGAAGAAAGAGAGAGAGAGAGAGAAGGGCAGACACACAGGCAGAGGGAGAAGCAGGCTCCATGCAGGGAGCCCGACGTGGAACTCGATCCCAGGTCTCCAGGACCACATCCTGGACCAAAGGCAGCGCTAAACCGCTGAGCCACCCAGGCTGCCCCAATAAATAAAATCTTAAAAAATAAATAAATAAAACCACTGCACAAAAGAGATCAAGCTTGTTTAAGACACTTGGCAAAGGACCCAGGTGGTATATATTACATTTTGGACAGAGACCACATATTTTAGGGGGGAAAAAAACCTAGAAACAATCTCACTATCCTAACTGAACTGATGGCACAATTTTTAAGCTTTAAATGATGAATCTTTATTATTTTATAGGCTTAAAAAACTAGAAAAACATTCATTAACCACAACAGGTTTCCAAAATTGGCAATAATCTTACTTTACTATCACTAAAACTGCTGAGTAATGCCAATAATTACACTTAGAAATATTAAATAGATATGACAAATGACAATTTTTTGGTAAAAACAATGATAGACTTGAGTTTTTTGAAACATATATTTCTACTAAAACTAAGAACAATGAACTATAACTAAAAAGTAAGGAAGTTAATTTCTGTGTGCCTAATGGAATCAGTCTTACTGCCTTATACCACACCTCAAAACAAGGGACCCCTAAAAACTGCTCACTTAAAGAACAGAAAAAAATATAATTGGACTATTAGTGGTGGGAAATATAATATCATAACAAAAGAAAAAAATATAAAACTTACAAAAATTTACTGAGAGAACATGAGTTTATGATGGGATAAGCACTTGGTGTTATACTATATGTTGGCAAACTGAATTTAAATTTTAAAAATTTAAAAAAAGAGAGAGAACATAAGTTTATAGCACTGTGAAGAATGATTTGGCGGTATCTAATGAACATGAAGCTTTAAGACCAAGAACTCAACTTTTAATATTCCAAGTAAAAAAAAAAAAACATACTAATAAATAAATAAAAATCTTAAAAAAAAACATACTGCTGTATTTCTCATTGCAACTTTATAAATGAAACATCAGTAGTATTTTTCTGTTTTGGACAACGTTTCCAGTCCAATGCACTTGAAGAGTATAAAGCTCTGATACTAAACTGAAATATTCAATTTTCAACAAACTGTAATTCGGGTCAAAGCCAAAACTAGAAACCATGTCCTCTAACACAGTGGTTCACATTCCCAGTGCCATCTAGCCTCTTTTTCTTACTTAGTTAAAATGAATAATTCAATATACCAAGCAAAAGTAATCCTGGGAAAATGAAAAAATATACAGACTTTTTAACTGCTGAAAAAAATTAATGGAACAATGAAAAAAGAATATCATCTATGGAGAACCAGTTGACAGAAATATTTAATTAACAAGAATAAAAACTGGGACGCCTGGGTGGCTCAGTGGTTGAGCATCTGCCTTTGGCTCAGGTCCTAATCCTGGGGTCCTGGGATTCAGTCCCAGATCAGGCTCCCGAGCCTGCTTCTCACTCTGCCTATGTCTCTGCCTCTCTCTGTGTGTCTCCCATGAATAAATAAATAAAATCTTTAAAAAAAACAAGAATAAAAGTTAACACACAGCACAGCACTTCCACAATGATGAAAATATTCTATAGCTGTACTGTAGCCATAGTAGCTAATAGCCACATGTGGTACCAATACTTCAAATACGGCTAGTCCAACTGAGGAACTGAATTTTAAATTATATTTAATTGTAATTAATTTTAGATTAGCTACATGTTGGTCATGGCTAACCTACTGGATAGTGCAGAGTCAGAATGTACTTTAAAAGAGTACTGAGCAGCTTACTACATCAGAGCAAGCATATTAAAACAAGAAAGCTAAAATATTTAGAGAACACAATTTGATGAACATAATTTAATGGAAAACAATACCTTTATATTCGTCAGGATGTTTTTCATATTCCATACAAAATGTAAGAAACTTCATTAGCATTCGCTTTTCTACCATAGTAAGTTGTTTGCTATTAAAGACATCAGCTCTAGAATAAGGAACCTGAAAAACATGATTTTAAGTTAAGAAACTGCTTCCTAGTGACACAAGTTTTCCAAATTACATTTTTTCCCTTTAACTATATAACAAGATCATTATTTCCATTCTAGCCATTCATGTTACCTTCTATCAGTTCTAAAGGCATCTCTGCTGACTTCAGAGCTAATTAACTTGTGAGCTCTCTTACTTAATTCTGCCAAGTTGCTCCTTATACCATTAAAAGGCCAATGGCATGTCACTCCTAACTGGGTACAAATGACAGCTCAAATCTAGCGATATTTCCTGAAATTAACATTTTCTCAAAACCAGTATCAGGTTGCAGGAGAACTCATGAAAAAATTAACACTAGAAATTTTACTTGAGTAATCTCTATTTACTTTTACTATGCAGGATTGGAATTTGCTGCTTTGCCAGGAAAATAACAATTCTATTTGTTTATCCTTCCAAAACAAATAATAACTTTAGCTCATACCCAGTTACAACATTTGATCAACAAAGTACCTGTTCCACTCTTCCTTCTCGAAATGCAAGAATCCTGGTAATATTTTTGAACTCTGCATATCGACTTACGTTAGATTTGATTAAAAGATCAATTAGCAATCCTCGAGAATACAGCAGCTGTACAAAGAAAATATTTTACAGGATAAAATAAAAGGAAAAATTAGTAAGTGCTAAGTAAAGATATATAATTCCACTATATTTTTAAATATTTGTATGAAATATTATACCTATTAATATTGTAATACATAACAAAATTTACTACAGGTTTATAATTGATTATCTGAAATTCAAAACCCTAAAAACTCTGGAATCCAAAGTTTTTTCATAATTAATTTGGCAACAAAATGACCCAAAATGATAGAAGACTCTTTTCTCTTTGCTGCACTTACTGTGAATACATACATTTGCCTGCAGAAATATTAATAGGTTTAATTATAGAGTGCCTCCTCAGATCTTGTTAAGAATGTTATACCGTATATAGTGTATCAGCATATGTACTGTATTACGTTCTAAAATAATTTTTAAAATCTAAATAATGGAACACATCAGGCCCAAGCATTTTGAATAAGAGACTATACAGACTTATATAAGGACAAGTGGTTATTTTTTTTTACTTACAAATTTATTTTTATTGGTGTTCAATTTGCCAACATACAGAATAACAACCAGTGCGAAAGCCAATTCAGAAGGACAAGTGGTTATTAAGAAGACATTAGCTCGCTGGACTTCTTCATCAAACAGAAAAGAAAAAGATTGGTTATGTGTGCCTACCAAAAGAATTGAATTAGAAGGTCCCTCTAGAATCCTAGCAGTCTAGATTTATGTCTTTTTCAAGAAGTGAGGATGATGGTTATTGATAGCATGCACATGTGGAATTGATTTTTCATTTTGTAACAAATATCAGAGACAAAAAAATCCACAAAACTTCAATAATATTATCTAGCATGTTCTATATTTAACCATATGGTTAAATGCAACAGATTTGGCTTTGCGGTATACTGATATACTTTTAAGTGTTTATAACTCAATAAATGTTTAAAATGTAAATGTTACATCTGTAATAAGAGAAGGAAATAAAACAATTAGCTTTGCTAGAAAGAAAAAGGGAATTTCAAAAATCTATCCAAACCATCAGTCTGAGTATCCAAGAGGTCAGTAAAGACTTGAACATCAATATCAGTTAGGTTTTTATAGTGGCCAGCATTGTGCAGAACAAAACTGGCATTGCTTTTTTTTTTTTTTTGAAAACAATCCAACTACCCTAAATACAGCAGGTTATTTCATTATCTTCAGCCTAATGCCCTACACAACTAATATATATATAGCATACATTTTTAAGAATATATTGCCAAGTCCTAATTCTATAATTATACTAAAAACAGATACATCAAATACCCATTCTGTTTAAAAACAAATACTTGAAAGTCAATGATCCCTCAGTAGTCATAATAATTTCACAAATATTAATATGTCAAACAAAAGATGTATTTTCATTTAAGAAGATCTAGTAAAGCCTAAGACTTAATGCCAGCTTAAAAACAATGCATTTAAGATAACATTGAAGAGAACATATTTTAATTAAACACTACACTAAACTTTTGTCTGAAGCTTAGTAATAACAACTATAGTATTTAAACTTAAGCCTCTTTTACAGCACTCTCTAAGTGATCTAACCGAAATTGCAGTGATGAGAGGCTAAAGAATACCAAGTACCGTTCAATAGAAGAATGGATAAAGTTGTGGTATGTATACACACACACACATTACAAAATTACTTGGTCATTAAAAAAGAATGAAATCTTGCCATTTGCAACAACATGGATGAAACTAGACGACAGTATACTAAGTGAAGTAAGTCCAAGAAAGACAAATACCGAGACACCTGGGTGGCTCAGAGGTTGAGTGTCTGCCTTTGCTCAGGGCATGATCCCGGGGTCCCAGGATTGAGTCCCATATCGGGCTTCCTGCATGGAGTCTGCTCCTCCTTCTGCCTATGTCTCTGCCTCTCTCTTTCTGTGTCTCTCATGAATAAATAAATAAAATCTTTTTTAAAAATTTTAAAAAGACCAATACCATATGATTTCACATTTCACTCATATGTGTAAACTAAAAAACAAAATAAATGAACAAAGAAAAAACGACTCTTAATTACAGAGAACTGGTAGTTGTCAGAGAGATGTGTGGGTGGGTGTAGCTGGGTGAAATAAAGGGAATTAAGAGGTACATACTTCCAATTATAATACTTTACAATGTTGTATGGTGATAGATGGTGAGTAATCAAGGTGAGCAATGAGTAAATGTATAGAATTGTCCAATCAATATGTTGTACATCTGAAACTAATATAATATTGTATGTTAATTATACTTCAATAAAAACAAAATATTTCCATCTGATTAAAATATTGAGAATTAGATTTAATAAGTAATTAATCATTTCTGTTTTACTTGGCCATGTTGGTTCCATAATTATTAAGGGTATGGACTTTCTTAGAAAAGAACTTTAAATGTAAGAACTTCAACTTTGATTTTCTCTATTAGTCTAAGCAGTATAATACTATAAAGCATTATATTTAACCAACCTAACCTGAGCTATAAGACTACTTTTTAAAAGGCTATATGTGTTTTGTAAACTGCAAAGCACCACTGTAATGTGTCAGTTTTACCATGACTTTGAGATGGAATACATGTAGAAATGTCAGGTGGTTTGGAGACATCAAACTGGACTTTAGGAAAGAGGTAGGGCTTGAAATAGTTTTGGCAATCATCCTAAATTTAGATGCAATAACTGAAATTAGAACAGACAGAATTTCCAAGGAGTAACTGATTGCCCCAATATCGTGGAATATACTGCTTTCCACACCACAGATACTCAATAAATGTTCACTAAATGACTAACATTAAAAATTGATAATAAACCTCTTATACTGCTATGGTTCTACATTCTTTAGGTACTGCTGCTTTTGTGGGATGAATTTATTATTTTTTTAACATATAAAACGATGAAAACTATGCAGGACAAAGTAAACTGCCCTGACTGCTCTAGACACATCTGTTTTTAATTTACCCTAAAAGAACCACTACTATGATCCACTGAAACTCATGAAAATACCCAGAATTCTTAAAAGTCTCAAACATCTTGGCATCTAATTAAACTCTCTCCCCCTACAATCAGCACTTTCTTTTATATTAGTGCATGATTTCCTACACTAATTCCAAAAATTGATACAGTTCCATCTATTATTTTCCATTGCAATATTTATACTGTATTTCAGCTACCATAAGGGTTAGAGATTATTATAAACTAGTGTTGATTCTTAACCAACATTTATATCATCATTTAAGTTAGGCATTCCATATTCCAACTAATTAAAAATGAAATTTTCACAACAAAGCCCATTTGTTACTTGACTACTTCAGGGTTTTTTTGTTGTTTTATTTTTTGGTTTTGAAAACTTATTTTCTGTTCATGAGAATAGGAAAACCATTAGTAAACTATGATTAAACTTCCACCCAGAAAACAATAGCCAAGGTAATATGGAAAAAATGCTAGATTTCAAAGCATGGCAGGGTCACAGGAGCTGGAGAAGGTGGAATAGATGGTGCAAAAATATGAAGTAGGACCAAGGTAGCAACCAGCTCAGAGCAGGACAGAATCAGGCACAGATAGCTACATGATACAAAGAAAAAAAAAGGATAGTAAAAATATACTCATATTTTTAGGCATCAGGTTCAAAAAGAGCAACAATATGAGTATATAGGATTGTATTTAGTAAAATTTAAGGAATATGCAATTAGTCTCTCTGTATTTGGAACTTCAAGAGAGCATATTTAATTGAAAAGCCTAGTTTTGAGGCAAGTCTAATGTTATTTACTATGCTCTTCTATTTCTTTTTAATTTTTTGTTTGTCTTCAATGTATGGGATTTGGTCTGTTTCTTTCTACTTACTCCCTGTCCTATATCTAACCTCTTAAGACCATGATCCTTACTGGTTTTCTGCTTTTTCATGCTACATTAACCTTGCTTCCTATAAAACCAATACAACACTGTACCATCCAAAGACTTAGAGATCTCCTCTGAAGTTACACTGACCTAATATCAAAGTTAAGGACTGAAATATAACCAAAGACAGTGGCATTCTTCCCAGGCTCCCTGCCCCCACGCCCCATATTAAATTATCCTCCAAAGCCCTCACACCTGAACAGATGATTTTCAAAAATGCATGGGTTTATTCAGAATGTTCATCATCATATAGATGTTAAAATAGACACTATATAGAAAGGCTAAAAATTTCATTTTTTAAAAATGTTTTTTTAAGGGTTTTATTTATTTGACAGAGAGAGCTGGGAGGGTGGGCCAAAAGCAGGGGGAGTGGCAGACAGACAGAAAGGAGAAGCAGGCTCCCCACTGAGCAGGAAGCCCTATGTGGGGTCCTGGGATGACTGGAGCCGAAGGCAAATACTTAACTGACTGAGCCACCCAGGCACCTCAAGAAGTTCATTTAATAAACTATAAATAACATGAATTTTAATAAGGTTCATTAGAATTTTTCTCTTGATAAAATTCATAGTGTTCATGCAGTAGGAGAATGTCAGAATGGATTCTGTGCTCCAGTACAAAAGTATCCTTGTGCTATAGTACTGAGCATTTTTAACCTATATTTAAAGAATATTTTAACTGAATTATAAATTTCTGGCTACTATCTCTTTATAAAACAAATGTTCACACTTCAAATAATAAAATTATGAAAATTGGGTTTATGGTCCCAGATGCTATTTTCAATCAATTAAAATTAGTATTATTCTATGACAGGATGAAGAAAATTAGTACTTACTTTTGATACCAAATCAATATTAAATCTCCTGCCTTCTTTAATAATTTGTGAGTAAGTAATCCTAGTTTTCTTTGGTTGCAATGCAGTGCCTTCTGTTGTAGGCACATTTTTACTTGTTTCTTCTTCTGAAGCTGACTTCATACAAGTTTTATCATCATGTTTTTCTGTTTCTCCTGTTACCTTCACATTGTTTATTTCTAGGGCAGTCTCTAGATCACTGCTTGGAGTTTGTTCTGTGAGCATTTCACAGCTCACAGTGCATAGTGACTGATCTTCTGAAGGCAGATAGGCAGAATGTACAGCTTCTGTAGGGTTCTCAGATATCACAGAAGCATGATTTTTCTGCAGTGCACCAGCTTCTTCAACTTCTTCATGCAAATCCTGACTAATGAGAAATGATAACAACACACTTTTGATAATTATACTGGCTACATTTTTTATTATTTTAATGGTGTTTTTTATTTCTTTATCCCATTTATATTACCAAGTCCAGTATACATTTTGTCGTATATGAACCACACACTAAACATTCATCTGTTAAGGTTTCAACACAATATGAAATACAATTAATATTTGAAAAATACACATAGAGATTTCAGAGTTTAGCAGAGCCTGTCACATGTATACTTTTAAGAATTTACTGAAGACAGAGGAATTGTATTTTAGAAACAAATCAAAAGTGCTTATGAGCACAGCCTTCAGAATAAACAGGACAATGTTCAAACCCTGAACCTGTGATTAGGTAACTCTGAATTTGGAAAACTTACTTATCCTATGACCTAAGTTATCCATCTATAACATATGGGTAACAGCATCTACCTCACAAGGTTGTTTTGAAGATTAATGATTTAAGCTTCATGGTGTCACATGCAAAGAACCTATCACAGTGCCTAGCACATAGTAAATACTCAACAATGGTAGTTATCAAAGATTATTATTAATAATGTGACAGAGCTAGAATAAGTGCAATAAAGTTTAAGTTGGTTTGTCACAATGTGGTATATAAGAGGATCCTTCTGTATTCTTTCCTGCTTTATTCTGGTTTATTTATTTTTATTTTGTTTTTATTTTGTTTTAGTGTCTATTACTCTACTGGAAGTCTCAATTCTACAGTTAATACTAGGGTTAACATTCTCAGTCCATATTGCCTTGACTGATAAAACAGGCTCCTGTTCAATCTATCTGCATTATGCATTTCATTCCATATTATCATTCCATATTACCTACATTTCATTGAGTTGCCCTACTGTGCAACACTAAAAAATGTCAATGATAGGCCGTGGGAAATAAACACCTAAGTGATTGCTCAAGAAACTTAAAAGCAGCTCTTCCTTATATGATCTCTAAACACTACCTCATAAAATCTTCTTCCTGCCTCTAACCCATATCATCTTTATCAACTATTTTCTGGTCTCATCTCTCTTGTTTTCAGACATAGCATCTCTCCTAATCTATCAACTCTAATCTCCATGTTTTGAACCATATTATTTGTGTCTCCTGGGCTCTTCATCCCACTCCCCATATCATCATAATTCTCCCATTCCCAAAAGTAAGCACATATTTTAACAATCTATCCACTGTAAGAAAAATTTTAAATATTTCCCAAAAAACTTCCTTAAACCAACCATACTTATCATTCTATTACTCCATGTCCCCACAATACACACATGCAATTTGCCTTGCTTTTATTTATCCATTCTTTTCAATATTCCTTTGGTTGGCCAGTATATACTTTATCTTCTGAAGCAGACTTCAACTCCCTTTAAGGAAAGACCTAAACATCTCTACTTACATGTGCCTCAAAACACTTAATGCACTGCTCTACAGACATGCTATCTAATCAACTCTTGAAGAATATATGGTTTGGGGGTGGGGCAAGATGGCAGAGACTAGAGGTCCTCAACTCACCTGGCCCCACGAACTTACCTAGATAACTTTCAAAACATCCTGAACATCAACGAATTCGACCTGAGATTTAAAGAGAGAACAGCCGGAAAGCTACAGAGAGAAGGGTTTTCACTTCTAGCAAGGTAGGAAGGGGCAGAAAAAAATAAAAAAGAATCAAGTGGGGGAGGGTCACCGCGAGGAACTGGGCTAAGGGCTAAAGTCAGGCAGAGAAAGCCTCCAGGAAAGGAAAGCTGAGCCCTCGAGAAGCAGGAACTTTAAAATCCATACCGGATTCATCCTGGACAGAAAAACTCTCAGCAGGGAAATTGGGCAGAATCACAAGAGGGGCAGTAAAGCCTCCAGTTTCCTGGAGTCACTAATAGAGGAAGTGCGCCCTGGGGGAAAGCTCACCAGAATCTGTGGGCCGATCTCAAAGACATGGAGATCACACCCAGCTGGATATGTGGGAGACCCCTGTCAGTCAGGCAGGCGGCTCCAGATGGAAGGGTCTGCACCCTGCTGCCATCCAGACAATGTGGTTCCAGCAGCACAGGGCCCCAGACACCAGGGCTGGAGCAGACATAGGCCACCATCCTGCACTCCCCCTGGGACAGGCAGAAGCGGGGAGGGCACAGGACATCCAGGACTCTCTCACCACTGGGCGCCCTGAAAGCTGTACAGATCAGGGCACCCGCGCCAAACTGGGAGGGTCCAGGCCAATGTGGACTCGAAGACTGAGTTAGTTACTCGCAGGGAGCTAACTCCAGAGCTGAAAATCTGGCCACCACCGGTGTTGGTTTCCTCCTTGTTTCACCCTGTGCCTGGAAGAGGTGGGGCCTCCAGAGAACAAAGGCCTCACAGGATAAACAGCTCCCATTGAGCACTGCACAGGGAGGGGCGGGGCATCTCCCCTAGGTGCACACACCTGAGAATCAGCACAGGAGACTCCTCCCCCAGAAGACAAGCTGGAAGGCCAGGGGAAGAGTAAGTAAGTTCTTAAACAAGCAGCGCTGGAAAGCTCCAGGGGAAGTCGAGGGATTTATAGTATATAACTAGGGGATCCCTGGGTGGCGCAGCGGTTTAGTGCCTGCCTTTGGCCCAGGGCGCGATCCTGGAGACCCGGGATCGAATCCCACATCGGGCTCCCAGTGCATGGAGCCTGCTTCTCCCTCTGCCTATGTCTCTGCCTGCCTCTCTCTCTCTCTCTCTCTCTCTCTCTCTCTCTCTCTCTCTCTCTCTGTGACTATCATTAAAAAAATTAAAAAAAAATTTATAGTATATAACTAGAGGGTTCCCCTTCTTTTTTAATTTTTCCCTCTTTTTCCATTAGAACTCGTTTTTATACCAGACTAAAAATTTCCAGTATTTTCTCTTTCCCACCTTAACTACAATATTTTACCATCTCTTCACTTTTAAGTTTCTTCCTTTTTGACTTTCATATATCTACAATTAAATATCTTAGATATATTTTCCACTTCTAGATTCCCTTCAACTCATTAAATTTTGGTAGATATATGAGACATAGGTTTTTGTTTTGTGTTTTTTATTTTTGCTGCCTCATTTTGTTATACAATGAAGGAAGTTAATACCTTCTAAAACATGACTTGCATGTACCCAGAACCAAGTGCAATACCGGGCTGGTTCAGTCTGTGAGATTATATTCTCTTTACATTCCCATTCTGCCTCCATCTTTTATCTCATTTATGTTTTGGTGGTCAGTGTTGGGGCTTGGAACAAGTATTGCTGGTTTACATAAATTTGGGACTGAGCATCTTCTAACGTACAGAACTTAACACACAGAACTAAGAGGATCACCATCTAGAGCATCTCAGGTAGACTAATTCTCCCTCCACTACAACTTCTTCACCACCACCATCTCCCAGGTCCCTGCCTTTTCTTTTTTTTCCTCCTTACTTTTGTTTATGGCACTTCTTTGGGGTTTCTGTCCTCTTATTTTTTACTACATTGTTTTAAAATTTGTTTTTGCTTAAGTGGTCCTTTTGTTTTAGTTTGTTCGGATCTTTCTTTGCATTTTCTGATCTCTAACCTCCTCAGAATACTCTACGGTGAAATTTACTTAGGTCGTGGTTGATATTCTTGATGCAGCCCAATCATACAGCCACTCTGCACTGAGCAACATGACTAGAAGGAAGATCTCACAACAAAACAAAGAATCAGAAACAGAACTCTCTGCCACAGAGTAAAAGAATATGGATTACAAATTCGAAGGCAGAAAGCCAATTCAGAAGCACAATATTAAAGCCTGGCTCTGGAAAAAACTATAAGGGATTCTAGAGACTTTGTTACTGCAGAATTAGGATCTAATCAGGCCAAAATTAAAAATCAATTAAATGAAATGAAATCCTAACTGGAGGTCCTAAGAACTAGGGTTAATGAGGTGGCAAAAAGAGTGAGAATTAGAAGACAAGTTGATGGAAGCTGAGGAAAAAAGAGAAAAACAATTAAAAGACCATGAGGAAAGGTTAGGGGAAATAAATGATAGCCTCAGAAGGAAAAGTCTACCATTAATTGGAGTACCAGAGGGCTCTGAAGGGACAAAGGGCCAGAAAGCATATTTGAACAAACGATAGCTGAGAACATCCCTAATATGTGGAGGAAAACAGGCATTCAGATCCAGAAGACAGAGGTACACCCCAAAAAATCAATAAAAACCTTTCAACACCTCGACATTTAATAGTGAAACTTGAAAATTCCAAAGATAAAGAGACAATCCTTAAAGCAGCAAAAGACACAAGATCCCTACCTTATATGGGGAAGAATATCAGATTAACAACAGACCTCCCCACAGAGACCTGGCACACCAGAAAGGGCTGGAAGGAGATATTCAGGGTCCTAAATGAGAAGAACTTGCAGCCAAGAATACTTTATTCAGCAAGGCTCTCATTCAGGATAGGAGAGGTAAAGAGCTTCCAAAATAGGCAGAAACTGAAAGAATATGTGACCATCAAAACAGCTCCGCAAGAAATATTAAAGGGGACCCTGTAAAAGAAAGAAGAAACCGAAAGAAATAATTCACAAAAAAAGGGACTGAATAGGTAATACAATGGGACTAAATTCATATCTCAATATTTACTCTGACCGTGAATGGGCTAAATGATCCCTTCAAAAGACGCATGGTTTCAGACTGGATAAAAAAGCAACACCCAACTACCTGCTGTCTACAAGAGACTCAATTTATTTTTTATTTATTTTTATTTTTTTTATTGGAGTTCAATTTTCCAACATATAACATAACACCCAGTGCTCATCCCATCAAGTGCGCTACTCACTGCCCTTCACCCAGTCACCCCCAACCCCGCCCACCTCCCTTTCTACCACCCCTTATTCGTGCCCCAGTTAGGAGTCTCTAATGTTCTGTCTCCCTTTCTGATATTTTCCAGTCATTTTTGCTCCTTTCCCCTTTATTCCCTTTCACTATTCTTTATATTCCCCAAATGAATGAGACCATATAATGTTTGCCCTTCTACGATTGACTTA